ATTAAGTTCACCCACATGCAATTCCATCTTCATAGAATAAAAAAATGTAAAATAATAGTAACTTAAGCAAGATAGAAAGGTATTTCCTCTTCATGTGCTAGGCTGGTATGGGGCTCCAGAGTATCAAAGAGCTGGGTTCCTTCTAACTTTCTTGTCAGTTATTTTCAGCCTGGATTCCATCCTCAAAAGTACCTCATGGCCCAAGACAGCTGCTGGGGCCCCTGCCATTCGTATGCCCTCTAAGAAGCAGAGAAGAGCAAGGGGAAGAGAACAAATGAGTGCATTTTCTAGCTAAATCAGTTCCGTTTAAAGGAGGCATTCTGAAATTTCTTCACAATGATTCCACTTGGGGAAGAAATTAGTTACTAACCATATGTAGAAGCAAAGGAGCTTGGGGAAATGTAGATGTTTAACCCAAAGTGACAATGTGCTAAGGTGAGGAACGAGCTTTCAGTTAGCAGAGAAGAGGAGAAACCAGATTAGGAGGCAAAGAGCAACCTCTCTCACCAGCGTTAGGGAGTGCATGATGACAATCAGAATTCCTAGATATAAGGAGCCCCTAAAAAGGTGTTTGGCAAATACTTTGTGCTCAGAAAACTACATACTTATTTTCTTTCATATAATAAAATAAAGCTGCTAAGGATTATGCTCTTGATTTATTTTAGAACTCCGCAAATGTGTAGGCCAGGGTTTGCCAGTCTCAGCATTACTGATATTTGGAGGCAGATAATCTTTGCTGTGGGAGGGCTTTTCTGTGCCGTATAGGTTCTTTATTAGCATCCCTGGCCTTGACCCACTAGATGCCAGTAACTCCTCACTCCCAACTGTGACAATCAAAAATATTTCCAGTCATTGCCAATTGTTCCTGGGGGAGCAAATTGCCCTCAGTTGAGAACCAGTGGCCTTGACCTGTGCTGGACAGGAAGGTACTCTCCTATATTCTCTAAGGTTGAGTGGTGCAGGGTCTAAAGACCCTTGAGCTCATAGTGCTGATTCCATTATGTCGAACTCAGCAACCTCTTGAAATGATGAAGCACAGAGGAATCTCTACATTTCAAATGTTTTCTTTAGGAAGCAAGATTTTCAACTCTAAGGCATACAAACAGACTAGGTGGTCTTCAGTATGTACAAAGAACAAAGAGAAGGTTGGAGATTATATAAAAAGAAGAGATGTTATGTGTTGTTTTGAAAGAAAGTTTATTGGTACAGATAAAATTTTGGGGAGCTGGTAAGTTCTGATTGGTAAATGACAGCAGTAGGGAAAATTAGTCTTAGAGTTGCAACAGCTTATTTCAGTAGCTACAGATAAAACCAGTTTCCGGTTATGGCAGGCAGTTCGAGCAGCCAGGCTTGCAGACAATAACCTTCTTGAAATGTTATGTGCCCTAAGTGATTTCTCCTCCTGACCCCTTGACTTCAATTTAGTTAGGTATGACAAAAATGACTCAATTTAGGCCAGACATGGTGGCTCATGCCTGTAATCCCAGCACTTTGGGAGGCTGAGGCGGGGGGATCACCTGACATCAGGAGTTGGAGATCAGACTGACCAACATGGAGAAACTCTGTCTCTACTAAAAATACAGAATTAGCTGGGCATGGTGGCACATGCCTGTAATCCCAGCTACTCAGGAGGCTGAGGCAGGAGAATCACTTGAACCTGGGTGTCGGAGGTTGCAGTGAGATGAGATTGTGCCATTGCACTCCAGCCTGGGCAACAAGAACGAAACTCCATCTCAAAAAAAAAAGACTCAATTTATATGATCAAATTTCACAACAGGAAAAATGACAGATTTTTCCCAATAAAGAACAAATAACAGTAATTCATACACATTGAGAACTGATTACATAGTACGCTTTTCCCCTAAAGGTAATGTGGTAAAGACGTAGGGGTAGGGTGATGTAATATAAGCACTTGTTTCATTTATTCATTCATTAATCACAAATGTTTGTTGAGCAGCTGCTATGTACCAAATACCAGTTTAGGCTCTGGGGACACCACATTGAACAAAGAGGACAGCATGTGTGTCTTCATGAAGCTTTTTTCTGGTGAAGGAGACCGATCCTAAGCAGATACAGGAATAACTCCATAATATCACATCCACTGGGGCATGGTATGGACAATAAAGCTTTTAAGTATGTTGGAGGGTGACCTGGGAAGGCACGGCTAAGAAAGTGGCTTTTGTGCTGAGACACGAAGACAGTGAGTGAGCTGGAAGGAACATTCTGAGTGGATAGAAAAAGCAGCCATGAAGGGGTAGAGTAGAAGGTAATTAAGTTGGGAACAAAGGCCACAGGCATGGAGGCTCACACCTGTAATCCCAGCACTTTGGGAGGCCGAGGTGGGTAGATCACTTAAGGTCAAGAGTTTGAAACCAGCCTGGCCAATATGGTGAAACCCTGTCTCTACTAAAAAATACAAAAATTAGCCAGGGATTGTGGCAGGCACCTGTAATCTCAGCTACTCAGGAGGCTGAGGCAGGAGAATTGCTTAAACCCAGGAGGCAGAGGTTGCAATTATTCAAGATTGCACCACTGCACTCCAGCCTGGGTAACAGAACAAGGCTCCATTTCAAAAACAGACAACAAAGCTGGGGACAGAGTACAGGCAGACAAGAGAGAGCCAGAGAGAATAAGGATAGGGCTTTGGATTTTAGTCTGAGTAAGACGGAAATGCATCATTAGGTTTAAGGTAGACAGCAGTGTGATGCCACTTATGTTTTTTAAGGGTCCTTCCAGCAGCCACGAGGAAATATGATTGTTTGGGGTCAGAGTGGAAGCCAGGAGACCCATCAGGATGTTCTTAGATTCATCCCAGACAGAGAGAATAGCAGTTTGGAGGTGGGAAGAATGATTAAATGACATCTCTTCCACAGGGGGTCTGAAGGAGGTGACAGGCTTTGCAGATGGTCACCAGAAGTGAATAAAAGGTGTGTGGTTTCTAGAAAACGTTATGCAAACCTAATCTTTTAAAATATATCATCAGAAAATTGTATCGTTAATACTGCTTCTGACTTTTCTGAGTTTTCTGACTTTTCTCTCCCTACATTTGTACAAATTGTTTCTAGAGTTGTTGGCCTGTAAGAAACACAATGTAGAAGACAAGGATCTATATGCCTCTACTGGTTTGTTGAGTGATTACAGAACTATTATCAATATGTACATGCCTGAATTTCCCCATCTGTAAAATAGAGTGACTACAGATTACCAGTAACCTTGTTTAACCTAACTATTAAGAGAAAAAGCCTACCTAGTACTTTATGAATCCCAAAAGAAATGCAAATTGTAATTATTTGCACAGGTATCCAGTTGTGATAACATCCAAAGGAGACAAACTTTGATTAATAATCAAGATTCATTCCCAATGATTCCCAAGGATCTCAAGTTAAAGACAACCCTTAAATTTCTGTCAGCTTTGTAACTGTAATATATTCCAGAGTTTCAGTCGAGCTTAATTGTGACTTATTGATTCATTCTTGCTTTCTGACAAAAAGGATTGCTTTCTTGTGAAATTCAAAGTCTCTTATGGCAGCCGTGATTAATCATTTACAAAATATGCTTTAACCATCTATGATCCCTAGTATACAAATTTCTTTCATTGAAATAATTTTAAAGTAATTCAAATAAACCTGTTCCAATCAAATGCCTTAGAAGTCTGCAAAAGATAATTTCCTGATGGGATATGGAAAAAAATGAGTGCTTAAATAAGAATGATTACCAATGTAACAAATTATCATTCCTATAATACACAATTAATACAAAACTGGACAAAAAGAATGCCTATGAAATTTAATTAACCTCATGGCATTACAAGCTTTATCTGCAATGATGTCATGAAAAAGTTATCTAAAATTCCAGTTGAAGACCAATTAATATAATCAATACCAGAAAATGTCTGGACAGAGCAAGTGTTCAAGACATTACATAAAAGGAGTAAGTGGACTGTAACCAGGCATTTCATTCCTGTCCAAGATCTAGACAGTCGGAGATAAGCAAAGATTATCTTCACCAAATTATTTCACATTCACGTGGGAACTCTGTTCTAGTTTAAAGTAACACTCATGTGTATTAAGTGAGCATAATTGTGGAAATGCATCATAGAACAAAGTTTTTGATTTAGAAATACTATTCTATAATCATTTATTGTATGTATTTGAAAGAACTTTCACAAAATAATCGTTTTCATAAATATGCTATTTCAATATTATTATATATTCCTTAGATTAATTGTTATTTATAAAATAAAGGTGTATTTCTGTTTTAGGACTAAACATAATATTCATAAAATAAATTTTATCAAACACTATTATGATCCCAAAGTTGCTCCAGTGTTTTAGCTACTTTGTAAACTTTACTCATCTACATAATCTAATTACAAAATCTACTTCAGACTGGAGCTAGAGTATCATCATATATATATTTAAAAAACAAAGATTTCGGTGTATTAGGATTGAGATAATAATTGTATTATATCAAACATATAAATGAGTAACATAATAAAGTTTATAGTACTTTAGTGTGTAGTAAATAATGCTCAAAAATGGAAAAAGGACTGTTTAATGAAAAAAATCAAATTATTTAACCAGCAATTCCTACAAAGAAACCAAAACAGATGCAAAATAACGTAAGTGTAAACAGAATACATTAAATCCTCTCTGGTCTAACCAGAGGGCATTTTCTCTTAATGTTTTTTAACAGAAAATTACAAACAAAATATAAAATAAAGTAATATATAGAACCATTGATATCTGTATCTTGATGGCAGTGGTAGCTACGCAAGTCAAATCTTACACGTGATAAAAATGTCACAAAATTAAATACATGCATTCCACACATGTAATTTTTGTGATGTTGATATTGTTTACAATTACTTAAAGTGTAACCATTGGTGAAAAGTGGGCATAGATGATTTCTCTGTGCTGCCTTTGCAACTTCCTGTGAATCCATCATTACTCCAAAATTAAAAGTGTTTTGCACCATTCATATAGGTATAGGAAACGTACCTTAGAACATTGCTTGTGATTCTGGCACCAAACCAGGGAACCATTGTTCTGTAAAAAGAAAAAGAAAGAATACTGACCCATTATAAACTCTTCTAATAGAAAGTTACACATACACAGATTTATAATTTGAAATTATAATTTATGCATATAATTTTTGAATATTTGCATTTTAACAAATGCCCAATCTTGCAAAATCTGATGTCCTTCCCTTCCAATGATAGAAAATGTGTTTGTAATGTAAGTTTCATTTTGTATGTTAATTTCATGATGTAAACGAAGACGTATAAAATACTAAAGATTCCAAGCTGTCTGAAATGAAAAAGGGTTTGAGGCAACTTTGATGGTGTGTTGAGCATTGAAGCAGGAAAATGAACACTAGAGTTTCCGCCCATAGTCAGCAGTTTTGGGAAATTTGCAACTTAAGCATTGTAGATGATTTTGATCTCAACCAATTTATAGGAATAAGAGTTTAGGATTGGAAGAAAGAGCCTGTATTAGTATGTTCTTAAACTATTATAAAGAACTACCTGAAACTGGGTAACTTTCGAAGAAAAGAGGTTTCATTGACTCACAGTATTATAGGCCTAAAACAAAGTACGGCTGGGGAGGCTCAGGAAATTTACATGGTGAAAGGCAAAGGGGAAGCAAGCACATCTTACCATGGCAGAGCAGGAGATAGAGAGAGAGAACTCACACACTATCAGGAAATCCACCCCCATGATCCAATTACCTCTCACCAGGCTCATCCTTCCAATTTGACATAAGATTTGGGCTGGCACACAAATCCAAACATCAGTTCCCACATGAAAAGCCTTGTATTACTCTTTCACCAAACAAATGATCACAGACAAGAAACTTAACATCCCCATGTCTCAGTTTATGCATCTGTAAAGCAAGCCTAACAGCAATATCTCAAGCATCAGGCAACTGGAATAACTAAGTGAAACAATAGATACACTCAACAGATAACAAATATTGGGTCTGGGCACAGTGGCTCACGCCTGTAATCCCAGTACTTTGGGAGGCTGAGGCAGGTGGATCACCTGAGGTCAGGAGTTTGAGACCAGCCCAGTCAACATGGTGAAACCTCGTCTCTACTAAAAAAATATAAAATTAGGAGGGTGTGGTGGCACATGCCGGTAATCCCAGCTACCAGGGAGGCTGAGACAGGAGAACTGCTGGAAGCTAGGAGGTGGAGGTTGCAGTGAGCCAAGATTGTACCATTGCACTGCAGCCTGGGCAACAAAAGCAGAACTCTGTCTTAAAAAAAAAAAAAAAAAAAAAAAACTATGATTTATTATCCTGAACATTAGAATTTCTACATTCCACATAACTAAGATATTGGCCATTTTTTTTCTCTGGTTGGGGAGCTTTTAACTCAGGTTATGCTAGGCTGGAATAGCTGGCACAGCTAGCAGAAACCATCACCTAATAGCTAAGATGTCATTAACTCTAGTTCTCTGAAGTTCAAGGTATAGATGAGACAAAATCACTTGTTTCCTATGTTTGAACATCTAAACTTTTAAAATGAAGAATATTAGTATGGATACAGCAAGACGACATGTGTTTGAAGTTATGAAAAAAGAAAACTGAACCAAAAATATATCTTTTAGAAAGTAATTTTATAACAAAGTTATTGAGATACAATTCACAAAATTCAGTCATTTAAACTGTACAATTCAATGGCTTTGACTATATTCCTAAAGCTATGCAACCATCACCACTATCTAATTGTAGAAGATTTTCATCAACTCAAAAAGAAACATGGACCTATTTGTAGTCACTCCCATTCTGTCCTCCCCACTATCTGCCTTACCCTGGCAAACACTAATCTACTTTCTGTCTTTATGTATTTGCCTATTTTGGATATTTTATATAAATGTAATCATACAATATGTGTCTGGCTTCTTGATGCTAAATGCTACAGCAATCTTGCTTCATGTACATTGTAGTATATATTAGTGCTTCATCTTTTTTGACTGTCAGATGCAGCTATATGGCTATACCACATTTTGTCCATCTACTGCCAATAATATATCTGAATATGTCCCTTTCCAATAATAGCTTAATTATAGGATCCCCAAAACAACTAAATAAATCTCAGCTGTATGGGATTGGCAATCTTCTTCTTCAACGTGAAGATTACTGTCTTAAAATATCTCAGTCCCTTATGAATGCTTTAACTATGAAACCCCTCTAGCATATAGTCCTACTTTTTACTCCTTCTCAGCCTCAGCTCGCAATAATTCCTACTCATTCTTAGGATTTTAGCCAATCTCCTATGAAGTTACATACCACCTACTGAGTTCCGTTCATTCACACCTGGGCCCTCATCTCTCTGTCAACATCCATGTCCCCCAACAAGACAAGCAAGGACTGAAGCTGGAGACACATACAAACAGCCTAGAGCGAAGTTCAGTATGATTTTTGGCAGGGATTACATCAGGGAAATAATTAGATTGGGCAGAGGCCAATGCTGGACAAATAGTGGGCGTGGTTTAATTACTGGAAAATGAAGTGTTAGGAGAAAGCGTATAAAGAGGGCATAACATACCCTTTTATAAAACTGAGGTTTTATAAAGGGAGCCATTGGCTTGGTTACAAGCTAAAAGTTCACTGAGGGGCCAGGCTGACTAGGGCATGGTCATAAACGGGGTGACAACTGCAAAAAGCAGGGGCCAGGCATTGAGCATGCAGAAGCTGGAGGCTAGAGCAGGGCAGCTTTGGAGAAGCTCCTACACCGACAGCCAGCCTCAGCACGTTGCCTGGTGTGTAGGTGCATACGAGATTGGCTAAAATCCTAAATATGTGTAGGAATTATTGGGAGTTAAGGCTTAGAAGAAGTAAATATTAAGGGTGTATGCTAGAGGAGTTTCATAGTTAGTTTCTCCTGCTTCCCTTCTGCAGAGTTGGCTCCTACCAGGACTTCCAAGGACCACACCTGTCTGAGCACAACCTGGATTCAACCTGAGGGTTCCAAGCTCCTCCTCACCCTGTGATGGGAAGCAATGAGGCACCTTTTAAAGAGAATCAGGGCTGAAGTGGATAGGCTCAGACCTTGGACCCGGGGTCAAAGCCAGTTCCTGAAGGTCTTTTTCAGCACCATCTTGGTTTGAAGGCTTTGAGCCTCCTTTAGACAGGTCAGCCGGGTCCTGCTCCTTAGTCTACAAACCTCAACATGGGCACAGGTGAGACCTCCTTCTTTTCCAGATATTTTTTTCCTAGGACCTAATCTCCGGATGAGATTGGGGACCTTCAGCTATCTCTGCACTTGGTGTATTCCTTTTTGGAGTTTTATCACACCCGCTCCTGCTGAATGATACACTTTATTTTGTCTGTCTTGGTTCTTCAACTAGACTGATTCCTGGGGACAGAACTCCATGTTTTCTCTTTACCTGTCTGTATCATATTAGCAAGGGAGGGAAGCTCTTGGTCCTCATAAGGAAAGCATATTTCTGAGGCCATGCAAGGGTGACTGGGGTTCCAAAAGTGGGCATGGCAACTGTTGCCTGGGGTTCCAAAAGTAGGCACAGCAACTGTTGTTAACAGTTTGACAAAATATGACTAATGTGGCAATACAGCTTTGACTATTATTATTATTATTATTATAGTGGCCAAATCTATGTGGCAGACATGTGCCTTGATGTTTTAATACCCCATGTAATCATTCAAAATGACATAAGCCTCATTTATTCCTTTTACAGTTAAGAAACCTGTGGTCAGGAAAACCAAGTAACATATGAAGAGTGACTAAGCCAGCAATTAACCTCAATGGTAAGCAACACAACAGGTAAAGCCACAGGTGAAGAAAGGAGCAAGATGCACACTCAATTTTGAAGGAACTTCCATATTTATAACCTTGAAAGAAGAGACGAAGATTGGTCCAACAGTCCTAAATACCGTATATTGAGGAAGCAGCAGTTCAGATGGATGGGGTGGAAAAAAGAAAAGGAGGGGAGATCAGGTAAATAGACAGAAAGTAGATTGTAGGATTTTGATTATAGAAGATTTTATCTCAGGAAATATGTTTTTTTTAATTTAGCAATTATCAGAGAGTTAATTAAAACAAAAATAGAGCATTAGAGTCTTGAGAAGCCCTGTGCAGGACATACCTTGATATGGTTTGGCTGTGTCCCCACCCAAATCTAATCTTGAATTGTAGCTCCCACAACTCCCACATGATGTGGGAGGGACCTTGTGAGAGGTAATTGAATCATGGGGGCACGTTTTTCCCATGTTATTCTCGTGACAGTCTCATAAGATCTGATGGTTTTGTAAAAGGCAGTTCTCCTGCACACACTTTCTTGCCTGCCACCATGTACTATGTGCCTTTGCTCTTCCTTTACCTTCCACCATGATTGTGAGGCCTCCTTAGCCATGTGAAACTGTGAAACAATTAAACCTCTTTTTCTTTATAAATTACTCAGTCTCAGGTATATCTTTATTAGCAGCATGTGAACAAACTAATATACCCTTGAGTAGCTTTCTTTTGTTCCCTTTGACTGTAGGTTGAATGGCCAAACTTCAACAACAAAAGCACAAAGGATGCAGCAGAGATTGTCTTCAGCTGCCCAACCTCCCCTTCCCAAATGTAAACCTTTCTGCCCTGCCCCACACCAAACTCTCCTTCTTTCCAGGAATTCAATGCTCCCCATACCATTCGCTTATACACACCCATCAAAATGAGAAGGAAACCAATAGCCACAGAGCCTATTTTGAATTGGGAATTAATGCATTTTCATTTCAGGCAAAATTTTCTACTAATCATAAAATGAAAATCTCTGTCATTACAAAGAACTATTTGGGGCAATGGCAAGCAAGCATAAACGATTATTATGATTAGAATGATCTTTTTAAATTAGAGAAGATAGCATGTCATAGGTTGCTTGGGATGATTAAAAAGATAATCCATGTAAAGTATTTATCAAAATGTTTGGAACAGGATTTTTAAAAAATCCCTTTGTTATTATTGATATGATTTTGTTGTCATTTGCCATTAGTATTGTCTTGAGCAGTTGGGGGTAATCCTAGATTTAATATCTCCCAGC